GCACAAAGCTCCCATGGCGTGTATTTATCAGAGTTTTCCTGCTTCTAGACATCATCTGGCATCAGTTTGAAGAAGGAGGTTTCGTGAAACATCCCCGCAGTGAGGGCAGCTTGTGGTGGGGTGCAGGTTTTGTGCCTTCACGATTTTTCTGCAACTTTGGTTGGCTTGGGGATTTTGCGGCTGGCATTTTTTTTTGAAGCCCCTGCGCCAGGAGTCCAGACGCTGGGCTGCACTGAGTCGTAACCCAGGGGGTTTGCGTTGTGTTGGTGTTTTCTTTTTTTTGGGTTGAGATATTATTTTTTCACGTGCTCAGTGTCTCTAATCAGCCAATTGTTCAATTTCTCCAGAAGGAAGCCAAAAAGGACGAGCATTTGCTAAGTTTCGCATACCCCTGTTTCAGACCCAGCTTAGAACCAAGCCAGCAGAGGTGGCCCATCGGCATGTTCCAAGGCAAGCTTCATGGTTGCAACCGCGTCTTCCTCTTGCCAGGTGTTTTATTTTGTCAAGGCCCAGCTTTCAGCTACAGGCCCCAAGCTGGGCTTAGATGGCCTGAGGTTCTGCTTGGGAGCCATGGCGAAGGGTTTTGTGCAAGTGTGGGTGGTTGCGAAATCCGCGAATTCGCAGCTGAAACCATTGGTTTCTATTTAAAGGGTTTAAAAACCACAGTAGAAACCAACACGTTTGTTGGTATTTGCAGGGGGGATCGACATGTCGGTATGTTGGGGGCTTGCCCGGTCCGCTGGCAGTCACCCTATGTTGAAAGACCGGTGTCATTTGAATGATCTACGCGTTAGTCATTCACTGTGAGTTTAAGAGCAAAACAATCCATGTTTTGAATTCCCCCAAGAGAAGCATGGGGATGGACCGCATGGAGAACGTTTGTTGCATCTGTTATTCAATGCACAATGGACAACTCATGGTCCACAAGAGACGGTGAACAATTTGATTTACTTTGCGCCAGTTTGTGAGTCACAAATCAGAACGAACTCACCTGGGGTAAAACGACCTTGCCCGTGATGAAGATTTCATGCTGTAATACTCGGGTTCCGGTTCCTCGTTGTAGTTGTGCGAATCATAGCCGTAATTTGCTTAGAGAGATTTGAATGTCACAAACTATTGCGGTGCGCCAGCACAAGCTTTGTTTTATCACCCACACGTCATTTCTCTTTCCCGTCAGGTAGGGCTTTATTGCAGGGGTGGGTGTGAAACGTAAATAGGGTGTTGCCTAGCCTACTTCGCACTGCACAAATGCACGATGCTTATGCGTTCCTTTCGCATGTGGGAGTCGCTTTCGCTTGATCTCATCACCAGGTTTCCAGGTAGCATGCCTGTATTCGCGCGGAGGTTTGCCTTTCAGGCTTTCACGTCGCTTCTATGCTTGAGGACTAGAGGACCGCTTCGTCCTGCAGTTCTTGCTGTTGGGCTTTGTGATCGTGGCGGCCAACGGCATGCTTGTGCCTTTGAACCTCTCTCATGCCCCTTGCCTGCCTAGCGCATGGGATTGGGGGGCTTTCGAGGAGCTGAGTTCTTGCCAAATGTGCGTACAGTCCCCCGCTGCTGGTGGTGCCTGTGCTGGTTCCGGTGTTGCTGGTGCTTCTGCTGGTGCTGGTGACGGGCGCAGCAGTTTCATTCGAACATGGTAGGCGGCAACGTTTGGGCTCAGAGTGCAGTCGGACCTAAGCAGACTTAGGACCAACCATAGTGACAGTCCCCACTTGACCAGCTGCAAAGTACCAGAGTTTACTCATTTCTTCCAAATTTCAACTCTAAAAGCCAAGTTTGCAATTGGATTCAATTGAGTGATTCGGGCCTTCGACAACTTCTTCGTGGGCCCCTCGACAACTTCTTTAAGGTTTTTGCCGACATGGGTTGGTGTTTGTTTTGGTATCCATTTAAAGGTTACAGGACCACCGCTATTTTGGGGTGCCCTCTTGCGACATAGACCCACGTGGCCCACATAAGATTGCTTCAATGATTTCCCCTTGGGACCTTTCGAACTGTTTTCGATCACGCTGCTGTTCGAGTTGCCGAACGTCCTTGAGAACGTGACGATGATTGAGACCTACTACGAGAACATGCTGGGCGCCCGAGTGAAGCTCACTTGTGCTTCCCAGCCAAGTTGAGATGGAACGCTTAGTTTCTATCCCACCTAGCCTCCTGAGCCTGAGTGGGTGCTCACCTTATTATTTGGTTACAAGTTAAGTCGCTAACCAGTCGCTTACTAACTTGGCCGGAAATCCAAAATATGGAAAGTGTTGTTCTTCTTCCATGTCGTTTACAAGTGAGACATCTGTGTTGGGTTTCGTGGAAATAATTCAGGTACCCCCGCCCAATTTGGCGGCGTTTGAAAGGCGCACGCCCTAAACAGAGGTGATTCCCGTTGGGTGCAACGGGCCCTTAGCTTGGCATACGGCTATTGGCACGGTTTGCGCCCCCACCTGCGGGTTTCCGGAGTTGGCGGCCACTTTTCGTAGCCCCAACTAGTCGCAAACTGTGTATCCGGGGTGCTCCAAAAAGCGTGTTGGAAGAAACACGTAGAAGACCATAAATCCATTGAACTGCTAGGTTGTTCTTACTGGGCTGTGGAGATTTCCCCCTTGCCATCAAGGAATCCATTACAGCTTTCCAGATAGCTTTCAAGCCATAGATCTGGATGTAGTTCACCCCATGTTGCTCATCGATCTAAGCGATGAACTTGCCCCGAGGCCCAACCCCTTCCACCAACACAGCAGCCTCGCCAACATGGCGCAGATATTTGGCAGTCCCGGCCAAGGCCTCAGACGCCGCCTTCGGTTTCGATGGGGTTTTGGCCCATTTACGGATCGATCAGCGACTTTTTCCAAAGGGGCACATGGCCACGACTTCTCAGTTTGCTTCTCTGTTTTTGGGGGGGGCCCCTCCAAAATGGAGATGTTCCTTTCGGTTTCGCTTTTAAAGCCACAACAGGGTACCCAAAAGACACACCAGTTTTATGTGCCATGGTCAAAACGTTATGGCGATGTGGTTTGCCGGATCTTTGGACTTTTGCACGTTTTGGAAATGGCTCGTTGATTGTTCGTATTGGCCCACAAACAGTGAGCACTGTTTGTTTGCACAGGGGGCGTTGCAGCAACCAAGGCTCTTTTTTCGGACCCAACTGGCTCTTGGTTTCGAAGGTGCGCTCAGCTCATGTTTCACCATGTGAGCCTGTGGTCCGTGCCCTGCAGCGCTGGGCTCGTTTGTAGTCGCTGGGCTCACAACATTGCCAGACTTCGCATACCGCTCCAACTTTGCCTTTTCTTTGTTTCCGCATGTTTCCTTTCAGCATTTTTCCAGCTCAACAGTTAACTTCTTGGCGTTCCAAGTCAGAGCGAAGCAAGCGTTACATGTCCAAACGCCCGGCCCCCAAAGGGGAACTCGCTGTGCACGCATGGCGCAAGCAGTGGTCCACTTTCACGGGGGTATGCCGGACTTGCACCTTGGCGCAGTCGGCCCGGGGCCCGGGGCAGGGCCGCGTGGTTGACTTTGGCTGGGTGCAGACTGACAGATTCAATATGGCCACCCTAACGTCCACAAGTGGAGATTTGTTCAGTGAGTCAATTGCGTAGTGTTTTTTCCAGCAACTAGATGGAGAAGGTTCTGTTTTACCAGGCTCTGCTTTACCCTTCAGCTTGGCTTGGGGCAAAAGGGTCCACCTGGACAAGTTCTATGAGCCCAGGATAAAGAAGCCCTGGAGAACTTGCGGCGGCCCGTTGTAGAGTGTGTTTCCTGTGGTGATTTGCGGGCGGGCCCCGTGTCGCATGTCTGGGCTAGGAATGCGGTTGATGTTATTTTGCGGGAGGGTAGTGCAAAGCAAATAGTCACCTCGCAAAGGAGTGCTTTGCAAACCCAGATGTGTGCTTCGATTCGGCCATTTTAAGCAGGCCAGACTTATCTTCTATCTTTTTTGCCTCACCCCAACGTGAATCAACTTGTGGACTTGTTGGTTCTCCATCTTTGGCCTGTGAGTCATGCGAATTGATATCCAGTTTCTGGGCACTTTGGACAAGGTGACAAGGTCTTTGAAGGCCTTTGAGTCGGCACTGTAAACTTCCATTTGCTTACGAATGTTTTATTTGTTCCCGTCTTGGTTTTAAAGATAACCTATCACTACTAGTGTAAACCCATTTCGGTGGCTACACTGCGTGTGGTCAGCTTTTAGTTTGGGAGGCCCAGGCTGAAACAAGAGATATGTTGTTTTTTCAAAAGAAGGGAACTAGTCTTGCTCAGGTTCCCCCTGGCTGGTGATTTGGATTGGTTCTACCTTCTATACAAGAGCCAGGGTTCAAAGTCCTGTATCAGTCCGGATGGAAACTACCTACCAAGTGGTGCAGGATTTGTCCACCGTATTTCCCCTTTGGATTGCCTTTTCGGAGCCGCAAGCCTTGGATTGCCGAGAGGGCCTTGGCAGCCTTGGCTTGCTGAGGCGGTGGCTGGACAATCTGGCCTGCACCGGCTATCCCATTGTGGTCGATGGCTTGGAGCGGATCGGGTCGGGCAAAAGGTGTCAAACCAGGTGGCCCCAGAAGTCGAATTCTGGAAACAGAGGGCAGATTGGAGCGGGCTTCAGGCGCTGTGGCTTTTCCTTCTTGCAGCTAGCATCTGTTGCAAGGACTTTCAGAAAGTGTTAAGTCTATGCAGCAGAGACCCCTTTGATAGTTGAGATGCTGCATCGCATTCCGCACTCTTTAAACAACTGATGTCTTTGCCCATGACGTTCTGGAATGTGGGGTTGGGCTCGTGGCTGTTTCTGTCTTCTTTTGGCTGAAGACGCGTGTGATTTCGTTTCCTCACAAAGTGGAACCTGTTGAAATTTTGGATGCGACCCCTCTGCGAAGCTCACATCCAGCACGCCCCAACTACTGCTGTTTGGACAGCACTTGGCTTTGTTGGACATTGAAGTAAAGCAGTTGTTGGGGGATGCTGGATGTGTTTTTTTGGGAGGGGGGGGGGGGGTTGGAAAGTATGGGCCCTTTTGCGGGATGGCCAAAGTCCGAAAAGCCGGACGCCCACAGCGAGAATCCGCTTTTGCAAGGAGTGGCCCAGCACGGAGCACTACTTCCAGGCCCAAAAGTTCCTGAAGACCAGCTCGGAGGAGAGCCGGCAAAATTCGGGTGAGCCGCATCTTTCGGCATCCTTTTTGGGGCGTTTGACACGCACGTGCACACACACACACACACATACACACAACAACAAACTGAGTTTTTCGGGTTCCATGTTCAGTGCAAGGAATTGTTGAGCGACGCTCTTTGCGGCGGTTCTACGTTAGTGACTTTTCTGGGCCGCGTTTGCCTGATTATCCACAGAAGCAGAACATCAGATGTTTACTACTACGTGACCGTGAGCCATGAGGTATGCCACCGCGGACAGGCTCTATGTATATAATGAGCTATCGTTGCACCCATTTTGAAGTGGCTCAAATCTGGACAGCTTGCATGTTGGCAATATATGTTACGTGTCATGTATTTGCCAGCAATCCTGCTGTTTGTTGCATTTCCAAAATGATGTTACTATTCCTCTGGTTAACGCGGAACCCATTGCCCAGTTCTTGTGAACGGCTATTCCATGTAAATGTTCCGGGAGAATGGCATTGCATCATGCCCCGCCGAAGCAGCTTGAAGCATTGAAGGCCATTTTGTGGCTTGGTTTCTGTGGGAATTGCAAATTGGACCCTCCTGCAAATGAGCATGGAACCCCAAAGTCCTTCGAGGAAGCTCCTTGTGAGGAAACCTGCCAACATGGCACCTGACAGCCTGACGTTCCTTGACCGTTTTGGAGACCTTGGGGACTTGGGACCGCACTGTGCCATTAGGTGCTCGATTGACAGCAGGCACCACTAATCTTCAAAGTTGCGCCCCGATCCCTACATTTTCCAGGGCACCCCGACAAAGTCAGACACCCAGGTGCCACGGTAGATTTGACTTGTTGGTTTCCGCTCCTATATTATTATGTAAGCTTTGTGTCTTACCATGCATAGATACAAGGTTCTGTTAAAACATCCAGCAGTCAATGGCCCCTTTGTGACGCAACTCACACAAAAACCAGGGGATTTACCAATGCGTGCGATTGCAATTCTGAACAAACCATCTACAACATATGTATATGCAGCATGTTATGTACATTTGTTTGCCTTCTTTATGTGTTTGTTATGTTTTCTTTGTGCTTGCGCAGCGGCAGGTGCAAGAGGATTGGGTGAGTGTTGGCATTGCGGTTCCAGCCCGGGCAGCTACATGCACACGACAAAGCAGCGGTTTAAGCACTTCACCCAGGTTTCACACGCGGTGCAGACCCCCAGCCTCTTTTTTGAGAAGGTCCGTAGAAATGGCACGGCACCCGCCACAAGCGAATCTCGAAGGTCAGACAGTTCAACAGAAAGTGCTGTATGCGTTGATCTCGTTGCAACATCTACATCTGGTTGTATGCTTCGGGTTTTTTTGTTGCCTGCGAGTTGGTACCAATCACAACACGGGGGGGTTTGACCATTTACTTGTGACACTTGTGGCTTATCCTTTCCGTGCCTTTACAGATTCTCAAAGCTCCCTTGGTGGAGCCTTGGCATTTGTGCCATGTGTGCTTCATTTTACTCCCCTCCCAGAAGTCTAGAACTTAATTCAACCCTGCAGGGCTCAATTCGAACCTCCTCCCCCCCCGAAGTGCTCCATTCGACCCCCGCCAAACCCAGACGTGCTCAATTCGAAGCGAGACTGAAAGTGGCACTTTCGGGCGGTCGCGGCCCGCCGCAGGAGCTGGTGGAGCGCATCCGGCGCTTGCCCGGGTCTCTGGAGGGCAATCGGGAGGCCAAGTGCCTGGGCTGCGCCGGGCAGCTGCGCGGGGACTGGGAAGCGGTGAAGGTGCAGGTGATGAGGACAGCTAGGTGTCCCGGCTAGGTGCCCATTTGCCCGTTTTTGTTTGTTTGTTTTTTCTGGGGGGGGGGGGGTCCTCCAGTACTTGTAGTGCCCGTTTTACCAACCTTTTTTTTTTTTGGTGGAGGGTTCCCCTACTAAAATAGACTACAGAAAAAGGGTACCCGTATTTTAACCTCTCTACTGGAGGACCTAGACAGACGCCCCGCGGAGAAAAGCCGCGACCCACGCGACCCCCAACGAAAAAGAGAAACTCGTGGGGTGTGGACAGGGGCATTCAGGTTTAGTAAACCCCTTTTTATTGTGCCACCTATGTTCAGGTGCAATGGCCATATTTTTGCAGAGCCAGAATAAGCAGCCCGAAGCCTCCGGACCCACTTCGAGGCGAGCCAAGAGACAAAAGGACGCTCAGAGCCTTTGTCGGTTCGGTTCAGCCCCCGAAACGATTCCTCCGACTGACCAATCTGGGGCAAGGCTTCGCCGGACGCAGAACGGCTCGGTTTCAACACGCCTTCGAGTGACTTCCGGTCTGAATCCCACTCATGTTTGCTACATTTGGGTCTTCAAGGGCAAGCCGCACTGTTTGTCAAGCTGGCCTGTGAACGCCTAAAGCGGTTCATGGTTGGATTTGGCTGCCTCTCACAACCGTTCATGCCCTCATTGAATTTGCAACAACATGCTTGCCCTTTGTTTTGCGGAGCGATCGAGGCAGAATGGCAGTTGTGTTCGCCTGCCAAATGCAATGCAGGTCTCCCACTCAGCTTTCTCGCACTGTCCCGAAAGAAAATCCCGCGAGGTCCCCAAAAGTATGGCTCGGCCAGGCCAGCAACCGGAAACGAGAAGAGTGCACGGCATAAATTGGCTTAGGGTTTAGCCTTCGGTCGCCCAGATGAATTGCCAGGTTGGCTTAGGTAGGGCTAAGCTGTAGCCTCTGTTCCCAATGAGCACACTTCGATGGCTTGGTCACAAAGCAGTAGAACAAGGTTCCTTGGCAATATGTTCGCGAAGAGCAAGCTTCACCAGCTATTGCAACTGCTTTCTACATATACCAGGTGATTCTTAGGTCCACTCACTCCCTGATTTCATGGACTTTAGTCACGTTTTGGGGTTGGACCATTTTAGTGGTAAATCAAAAGCTTGCGTACTTGTTTTTGGCCCATCCACTCGATCGGAAGTGAGACATGTGCCAGGTGATTCTTAGGCAAGGTCCCCAGTAGTGCCCTTGTATCCTTTTTTTTGGGGAGGGTTCCCCTACTAAAATAGACTACAGAAAAAAAGGTACCCGGAGGACCTTGTAGGTCTATCCTTTGAAAGCTCCCAGCCATCCGGTTCCTTAGCCTTTTAGCTTTTTAGTGTTTAGTTTTGTAGTTTGCGAATTTAACCCACTCAACTTCCCCAGAACAAGTTCCCCTTTTGATGCTTCTTTGGGGGGTCCCTTTGTTTTGCACTACCGGGCAAGAAACAGATCTCATGTTTTGCCGAGGTCCTAATTCCAGCCCAGTAAAAGTGGTTCACTTTTAGCGGGGATCGGACATCGCGCAGCCCGGTGGAGGGTTCTTTGGGCAGGACGGCGGTGATGGCCAAGTTCTCACAGCACCCGGAGCTGCGGAGGAAGCTGCTGGAGGAGATTCCGCGGGAGGCCTGAAGCAGGCCTCAGGCAGACCGAGGGGTCAACGCATCCCATTTGAGGGGAAGGTTGACCCGAGATGTTCATCAACCCGAGTTGTTTGTTTGTTTTTTTTAATAGGGGGCTGGGGGGGACTCCTCCAAAAATGATGATTCCATACGAAGCCCAGGTCTATTAAGTGTTGATTTCTAGGGGGCTGGGGGGGACCCCTCCAAAAGTGGTCTGATTCCACGAAACCCAGGAACACCCCCTATTTCGAAACTGGGTTGTTTGATATGGGGTGAACATTACTCGTATGACGGCAACACCCTGTGGCGCGGTTGGCGCAAGTTGAATTCTCTTGGTTTTGGACCTACCCCGCGAGAGGGTCTGAGTAGAACTCAGCTGGCACGGCGCTGTTTGATTCCAGGCTGCTCTTGTGGAGCACTGCGGCGATGCAGAGTGGGGCGATGGCGGCGACGGGTGCGGCAAGAATCTCTTCGGCCGCGTGCTGACAGAAGTGCGCGACGCGTTGGCGCAAGGCCTGCCGTGAGCCAGAGAGCGCCCAAATCGGGTGAAATGCTAGGCAGCTCAACAATCCGGCGATTGTGCCCAAAATGCTTGAAGCATGACAGCGTTTCGCGTCGGGCATCTACAGGAGCTAGAGGGGTTGAGGTTGCCTCAAGTGCCCAAAGCCAACAGACTGCAGTGGAAGTGTGCCCTAAGCCTCTCAGCACATGTGCAGGGACCCTCCCAAAACCAAAGCAAGCGCATCTTCATGGCTGGTCTTCGGACCAAGTCGCAGAGATCCGAGCTGTTGCTCGCTTGAAGCCTTTGAGGCCATGTGGCCCTGGCGCGCCAAGAAGTGCCTGATAGATAAAGAGGGCGGCGCCAGCCGGGGAGGGTTGATCAAACTGGACCGGTTCGTCAGGGCTCCTTAAAAGATGCATTTTGCCCATCTGAAACATGTTTTTTCCACCAAAATAAAGGGAATGTTCAGGTGTAGAATGTAAGGATCCTTGTTCCTGCACCCCCTTTGGTTGATTTCCAAGCAGACAGAGTAGTACACGTGTACTAGTTCAAGTGCCTCCCCAATTGCCCCCCCCATGGCAATCATTTTGCAAAGGCCTTGCCAGGGCAGCATCAGATTCGAACAGCCTCCCGCAAAAAATGGACAGCATCCGTCGTCGAACAGCATGTTTGTTGCTTGATCTTGGTTTGCTGGCTGTGCCCGGCATGTTGCTTGCCAGTGTTCAGGCGTTTGACTTGCTGTGGGTTGTTCGGACCCGCAAGCACGTGCCTGTGTTTTGTGCATTTTGCCCTTTGATGTGCTGCTCACAGATGGCACTTGCTCGCCAACAAGTTGTCACCTGGCCACCTAAGCCCGGGCAGCCTGGGCTTCTGAAAGGACACACCCAAACAATCCTTAGTGGCTTCCAGCCATCCGGTTCCTTAGCCTTTTAGCTTTTTAGCCTTGAGTGGGGATTTCCATTTAACCCACTAAAAGTTAAGCTTTTAGCGGGGGATCTGAGGACAGCGCAGGATCCATGAGGATCCCCTGGTAAAGCAGCTGCTTTTGGGATGTATCCCTGGGGCCTCGCAGATGCTCTCTGAGGCATTGACTGGTTCCTGCCGATGCCACCCCTGAGGCGATGTCATTGGGGGGGGGGGGGGGCCCTGGAGTTCTGCTCATCGCCACATGGGGTGGATGCATCAACACCACCCCAGAAATGGGGGGGGGGGGGGGTCATGCTGGTCCCCTTTCAAACCGCTTGCTGAATATGTGCCACAGTGCCTTTTTGAATGTAAGCCCTGGCGCCACTAAGATCCTTTGAAAGGCCTTCAAGCACCCCTGGGGCAACGTGCTAGGCAGATGGCCCTTCTAATAAACTGACTGAGTGATTTATTCAATGTAAGCAGAGCGGGCTGTCCACAACATCTGTCAAAGTGGATCTGGGTTCCATGAGGGACCCCTTAGGTGGACATCATTTAGATGGAGAATAATGTCCACCATCGACTTTTGACGAGGTTCCCCATAAGATTCGTAGCCATAGCCGCTTGCGACTTTTGAAGTACTCTCCTATGCCCTCCTAGTCGCCGTTGCCGAATCGTAAAATTGACTGCGGCAAGCCCCTTGCCTGAGGCAGTGTACACCCAGTAATTCGCCATAGTTTGTGCCGCAGGGTCCATGCATGCAAGATGCACATATGTGCGTGGAGAGCTGCATTTTGTTTCTACAGCTACTTATGTATATGTATGTATGTACGTATGTGTATATATATATACATGCACATACATTTGGTTCCTTGAGGGTTTGCTTTCAAGCTGCGTCCCTTGGTCCGCCCGCAGGCCATTGACTGATGGCATCTGCTTTGCACCTGGGATGCACGGTAGGAATTGCGCCTTTTGCACGCTGGCGCGGGCACGATGTGGTTCGCCTACAGGCTCAGAGGCCAAACGTGGCTCTCTAGTTTCAGGAAATCCGCGCATGCTGGTTGTCAAGGCAACGGCGGAGTTACAGCGTCGACTCAAAAAATCCCTTTCCTGCTTCGCAATGGGGGCTACTTTTTTTGGGTTGTGAGGGAGGGGATCGTTGTAGGCCTGCAGCATTTTGGACCTCGGCTCGGGCTTTGGGTTCATTGGCCACCAAAAAGCGTCCCCCGCTTTGGCGCTGGTACGGCGGGTTCCTTCTCAAAGAATACCCCTGAAAAAGTTTTGACCTTCTAGCGTGTCTGGCAAACAGTCGGGAAAGCCAAGCAAGGCGAGCCAGCCGACAACATAGCGTGTGCCCAGTGCAGCCTTGCATCTTATGCCGTTCTGGTCGCTTGTACTGTTCCACTGGGCCGTTCTCGCTTTAAAGTGGCCCTCCGAGTTAAGAACTTGGCATTCCGCATCGTGGGAGCGCATTGCATCAGCATTTTTCTTGAAAGAGGCTGGAGAAAGCTGGCGGAGCGTGAGTTTTGTGTTTAGACTGACTCAAGTGCCGCTCTCGCCAAGGCACGGACAGACCGGCGCTCAGCCTTGCTTGGGAAAGGCTAGCGATGAAGACCTCTGTGAATGGATGTTGCGGGGAGTTTTGATAGTCACGGCCTGTGAACTGCCATGATTGTCCGCAAAAACCCGGGAAGAACCAAAGGCGGCTTAAAATTTACCAGAGAAACCCCTGCTGGACTGTTTTAAAAAGAGAAAAGCTGTTTCGGAAACTTTAGGACTCCAAATGCATCTTGGCTTCGTGGTTCCCAGCGTCGGGTGTTCTGCTAGCTTGCCTCCGAGAGAGAGGATATTTGTTCCCAACGCATGGCTCACTTTGCAAGACTGGGCATCAGCGGCAAGGCCTCCAGGGCCGGTATTCAGTGTCGAGATTGTCGAGGTTTTTTCTTGGGCATCGGGGGGCTCGGGTTTTGGCAATAGAGCCGTGGATTCGGGAATGCAATCATGCGCGAGCTGGAGCCCATGTCAGAGTTGAAGGTTGGCTTACCTGCATATACATTTACACGTAGGATTACTTATGTATGTGCACATGAGGTCGGAAAGCAAGGCTCTTGCTTCCCCGCAAGCCGTAGGTCCGAAGCGCCGTGTTTATGAAAATACCCAAGCAGCGCATTGCAAGCAGCCTGTGGGCAAACGCCAGCAGACCCGTCCAACTCAGACCGGTGTCACACGCAGACGCAGACTCTGAGCCGCGCCGATGGCGCTGCTCTCGGCAGCCGCCAGCACGAGGAATTGGGATGAGGCGGGTTCTGGAGTCATTTGGGCGGATGCTCGGGCCACATGGCAGTGATGGGTTGATTTTCTAGATCTGTTTAGGGGGTGGCCGACGCATGGCAACTCTTCATGCTGGGTAGCGTCCTTTCGATCCCAAACAAATGTTGATGGATTGGCACTTTTCACCCACATTCAGCACCTTGGAAAGCATTGGAAAGGTTGCGAAGTGAAGTAGAACTCAGATGGGCGTGACTTGTACCAGAGGTTTGCTTGCCCAAATATGCTTTGGCAAAAACCACTGCTTTAATTCATTGATGCTCTAGGTTGGGTGGAAGTGGCGGGGTTTGTAGAGCTCTTGTTCAGCGCAAAGTTGACCAGAGCTCCTGAACAGATACATTTTGCCCATTTGGAACATGACTTTGTCCACCAACATGGAGAAAAAAAGGAAACCACCATTTATAAGGCAATGTTCAGGTGTATAATCAAGGATCCCTGTTGACAATTGTTCACTGGCACTGTTTTCCCCTTTGTTTGGCATGCCTGCGCGAGCCTGGGAGCCGTTAGGTGGATAGACTGCTGAAGACGGGCAAGGCTGAAGCTTTGGCCAAGGGAGCACGGGTGAACAGGCAGCTCTCTGAAGAATATGGAACTCCAGGATGGGGTCCTTGGGTTCCTGCAAGAAAGGTTTGGGGAGTTTGGTCAATAGTAGCCAGGGATGGGTTTCTCACTTATCCCTTCTTGTTAACCCTTGTAATCATTGCAAAAGCCTGATCTTTCATTTCCAGGTCTTGCGGGCAAGTTGGCATGCTGCAGGTCAGCGTGGGAATCCGACATGGCTCCTTCACAGAGAGCCTGGTAAATGTTAAATCCTAAGGCAACTTGAAGGGAGCATGAGCTATTGTGCCTTCGCGGGGCCCCAAGCAGGACCTCCATGGTCAAGACCAAAACGAAGAAAGGTGAGTTCTTTGAGACATGGTTTGGGTGACATGAGTGCTCACAAGGTTCTATCTAGCCGGGGCTTCCTGACGCAACTCTTGATTTCGCCTACAGGGGGCCGCGAGGGGGTGGCCAGTTGATTCGGCATTTGCCTTGCTGAAAGCCGCAAGGGTCGCTGGAGTCCGCTGGATTTCCCTAAGTCGAAATCTAGTGGAGGCTAAGGAAATTGCCACTGGAGGTCCAAAGCGGAGAGCTGACGGACCCTGCCAAATGATTCTTCAGCCGGGGTTGCATTCTAATGCCACATTGGCTACACCAGTCTGCATGGAGACGTTTGCAAGGCTTCTGTTTTCCTCCCTATTGCAACTAAGCAGGGCCGCGTTCCATGAAGATGTTGCTTGTGATTTGTTCGTTTCCCCCACAATTATGCTACCCGGCATGTTTGCATTACAGCGCTGCACTCTGCCATTGAAGCTGGTGCCAAATCTTTGTGGACAAGCGAACATTGAGAGCTTTCCCCTGACGTGCTTGCTATTTGTGATCGATCGTAGTGGCAGCGGCGCTACGCGCCAAGTGCAACAGAGATAGTTGCTCTTGCTTGAAGAGGGGCACTTGGAAGAGATAAGACTCTAAGACATATGGGCAAGTGGCACAGATAAGACGACGACCTGGCACCCGCGTGAGAGCGAATCTTTGGCCACATTCGTTGCGCATCAGCTTCCTTGGGCTTTGGGGTATTTGTGGCATCCGTGGGAAGACCTCTCTCGTCTGGGGTGTTTTTTGCTTCAGAACTGGGGTCAGAAAGCCGACGGGAGGCTTTTGGAGGACTAGTTTTCCTGGGAAGTGTTCGGTGGTTTTAGGTCTATGGTTGTTGGAAAAGCAGTAGTTGTCTTCAATGCCACAAGTGACCAATGGAAACCCAACACCTTTTCTACGTCTAGTTGTATGGGCCAGAAAGTGCGCAGAGGTTGTGAATGCCAATGTTGTTTTCTAAATGGCAAGATGTGGTTGCCTGCAATATTTCAAAGGGCCCGTCTCCATTTGCCTGACAGTTTCCCGTTTCAAACCATCTTGTACACTTTACCGCAAGCTGCCGGAATAGAGCACCCGCCCTTGTCTGTTTCCTGTTGACTTGTCTGTAGCAATCAGTCAGCACATGGACGCAACAAATACGGCCCTCCAACATGAATTCTGAGTGAAACGGTGCGCTAACTTATCTGTACTCAATGGGTATACGAACTGGTTGCTACTCACAATGACCGATTTGAGACACTTCGGGCGCATGTTCCAGCCGTGCTGATGTCCACTCTGTTAGTAGCCCTGGCACCAAGGATGTCAACAAGGCAGACAGGCCAGGCCGCCTGTTACCTTTGCGTGTGAATGAGTTGTCTCCAGGCGAGTCCCAGCATGGGTGCGAGCCAACCGCAGGGCACCCTCGGCGAACTGACCAAATCAGTCCGGCTCACTAAAAGCAAATGCACGGGCTCAGGATATCAAGTGGGATCTTAGTTTTCTTCAGCTCGTTTTGAGCCGCAACAAAATATGCACTTAGCTGACGGGGTCCTTGCTCGCTGCGAGTGACATGCGTGATTCAGTCACATGCGAGTGGTCCTTTTTGTTTGCATCGCCCATGCGTCGGAACGTCTTGTGTCAGGTCAGGAATGACTTGCCTGATGTGGACTGCGCAGTGGGACAATGTCAAGATAGACGCTCGGTTTTCACGGCAAGGATGTAGCCATAAAATGCTATAAACCACAGCCCCAGATTAAGACGACTTGAAAACAAATATGTTGCGCGGGCGTGCCATCTCTGAAGGCCCTTGTTTACCCGAAGGAGGCCGCTCCTTCAGCGGGGGTGCCGTATTTTCAGATGATCCCACCCCTTGATCTGCAAAACGTGCACCAACAAAGGCACGGAAGAACACCAGACAAGCTGCCGCGACTGCGTTCAGACCTCGTTCGGTGTCGTTTGCCCTTTGGTTTTGGAGGGGCTTCCGTTTGAATGAAGTGACAGGAGGTTGCGTTTTTTTGAGGGTGACTGGATGTCCAAAGCCATGCGACTGGGTTTTTTAGTTCCGGATTTGATCAGGTCTACAGCAAGTCAGCTGGATATTTGGGCGCCAGCCATGACAGAACCGGTCGGCTGGCCTCCCAAGCTTATTCTGCTTAGGGAAGGGGGGTAATTGGGCAACTCGTTTTTCCAGCGCCATCCTTAAGATTTGGTGGGCTTCCCCTCTAATGGTCGGCCCACCCCGCCCCCCTTCCAGGTGATATCCCCAACCGCCCTGACAGCCTATCTGGGCAGAGACCATAGTGATTGGTTCCTCTCAAAACTAGCAGGGGAAAATAGAACACACTCTAAGCAAATGGAAGTTAACACAATGATTGACTCCTCCTAAAACCTAACAGGGGAAAATCGACGAAACTTTGGTGCATTTTGCTTGGATGTCAGGACCTTCACTTTGTTGCCAACTAATGGATGTTTTCCGCATTAAACCACTAAAAGTTAGTTACTTTTAGCAGGGGAGCAGAAATCAACCGAGGAAAGTAGAGCAACCTTTGAGCCATGTGCTTAAGCCTTTGTTCTATTTCATCGATTTTCCTTGTTACAGGGGAAACCAGATGAACATAGAACAAAGGCTTAAGCCCATGGGATCGCTGGGATGCCGTGCCTGCAGTGCCTAGCCCTGGTCGAGCGAGGCTCGGGAGTTGATCAACCAGGGGGCCAATGTGAATGCTGCCAGCGCCTGGGACGTGTGAGATGTGAGATTGGGGGGGGGGTGGGGGGATGGGGCGGTGCGGGGGGTGGGGGGGTGGGGGTCTTTGCCTCCGGCTCCTACCAGCACTAAAGAATTACGCCTTCCACGGCTTTCAGCCGCCAGCCAGCCAGGAGTTGGCCCAGTGACCATAGGTGTCCCGTCCTTTTTCGGATTTCGCCGACA